CAAGAAGCTCCACTTCAAATGCGCGGGAAAACTGACAAATGACCTTGAATTTTTACTACGATCAGATGTCAGCTGTATGTTTACTGTTTGTCAACTAATTTCTTCTCAGAGATTTGGCAAATTTTTCAACAGTGACAAAAGTGGATTTAATCTGCACAAAAGTGATTATTATTTTTATAGACTTGTGTTTTTCTGCTAAGTTTCAGTGGAATCATCATCATTTTTCGTTTCTTGTTATCATTTTACATAACCTCAAAATATTGTGGTATAAGTGTAGGTATATTTGATTTTTTCTAGTGTCTAGGGTTGCTGAGGTAGAAAGGTAGAAATGATATATTTTTGTAGATAAACTTGGCAATGGGGAGACCTGGAGGACTAAAATGTGCAGTCAAAGACTGCAAGAGTAAGGTCTTAGATAATAATCAACATACACCATTGAGATTTTTTAGGTTCCCCAATCCTAGGACCCAAGAAGTGAGAATGAATTCATGGCAACTGGCGTGCAATGATGAATTGATCAGGGCTACTGATCCTATGAAATTGTATGGAAGCATGAGAATTTGCAGTCTACATTTTGAGGATCATTTGATAGAAAAGCACAAACTGAAAGAAAATGCTGTTCCTATACTTAACTTGGTGGTAAAATGGTCCTGATTTTATTGTATTTTACATACTTACACTTGATCTTATAGGTATCTTTATCAGGCTCCATACATGAGGAGCATTCATATTTCAGTGATGAAAATATAGAAGTAGGTCATTTTATGGAAATAGATGATAGCTCTGAAGATGGGATGGACACAAGAGCAAGAAGTATTGGTACCCAAACAGAACCAGATATGGTGGACACAGGAACACAGACACTTGTGCAGAAGTCTGATTCTCAAGTGCAGACAGAAAAGCAACTTTCAGCTATCACACCAAGAAAAATCAAATTAATCAAGAAAATAAATGTGGTATATTGAAAATTATTTCCTACATTTTACTGATTTATTTTGTTATTGATTTGATTAGAATCTTCATTCGAAATGATGGTTATTTTTATTTCATATGTGCAAACCTACCTTGAATACTGAGGGAAATAATTTCAAGGAATTTCTTAAATGATTCATTTTATTTCCTTCAGTAAGACTGAGCAGAATGATTCATCAGCTTATGGAAAAATAAGATGAATTGAAGATGTTCATTTAGAAGATATCCTGAGATCTGTTCCTAACCTAAAATTACAAAGAGAAATTCCACATTGCACATAGGTAAATGATGATTTATCGTTCACAAAAACAAAATATCCTCATGTCCTGCTTAAGTTTCTGATTCATTGGCAAGTCAAAATAACTCATTATTAATTTCTATTATTCCATTGACACTTGTAAATAAACTATTCTAAAGTAGATTCACAATGTCCACCTAATTTTGTAGAATCGTGTTGTGATTGGGTGAACATACATTTACGCGACGGCTGTCAATCTATCCACCAATGAGGATTTGATACGTTGAACGCGGATCGCTTACTTGTAAGTTGTAAGCGCGCCTTCAATACGTATGTCAGTTTCAAAAAATCAATACTTCAACCTGCTTCCAACCAATGAGCGGAGCGTAACCCATCGTGCCAGTTCATTCATTTGGGTTATTTCAAGGTCATCATCTAAGTTTCACTATATCATTCATAAATACTCCAAGTGGAAACTCTTTCCCCTCTCCTCTTTGACTGAGTTCCGCCTTTCTAGAGAAAATACAGGCTTGAGTTTTGGTGGCGTTGAATTCAACTAGGTTGTTGGTTCCCCCGGCTGTGATTTCAGCAAGGTCTTCATTGACAGCATTGACCTGCCTGCGCGGTGAGTTCTTAGTTTCCTGGGAAGAAATGGGAATTCTGGAAGAGAACGCAGTATGGAGGGTACTATCATCTGCAAAGCTGTGAATGGGGCAAGCTGTTACTCCCAACAGATCATTGATATGAAGAAGGAATAATGTTGGTGCCAAAATTGATCAAAGTGGAACGCCGGAATTGATGCCAATGGTATCAGACGATACACCGTGCTGAGGTGGTAAGCCGCATGATGGTGCCAAACACGGTCGAATGCTTTCGATATGTCCAACGCGACAGCTAGAGATCCCCCGTGTTTTTCTAATGAAGCTGGCCATAAATGGGTGACGTAGACAAGTAGATCTCCAGTAGATCTTCGGTGGCGAAAGCCGTATTGTCTATCATTGATGATTCCTGAGCTCTCCAGATATTTGATAAGCTCAATATTGAAGGCTTTCTCCATCACTTTGGAGATTACTGATAACAGGGCAATGGGCCTGTAGTTGTTGGGCAGGTTCTTGTTCCCTGTCTTCCAGCATGATGGAAAAATACCCGACCTGTACGAGACGGTAAACAACTTGCAGAGAATCGGTGTTAATTCTGGTGCACATCAGGATCAGGACCATTAGCCTTATTCGTTCTGAGACCAAGCAAAATTCGTCTGATAGTGCGTTGACGGAAGACGATTTCGGGCATTCGACTCTCAACGGGTGGAATGTCTGGCGGCACTTCTCCTTGGGAATCTAAAGTAGAGTTTGCTGCGAACATCTCTGCAAAAATATTTGCTTTCTCCTGCGATGTTGTTGCTAATGTGCCGTCGGATTTGGACAGTGGTGGAAATGAACTATTAGTGAAATTTCTTCCGACCGCTTTAGCAAGGGACCAAAACGAACGGGAGCCGTTGGGACATATTATAAATACATAAATACCCCTCAGAATTTTGTCTGATCATAACAGTCAGATTTGTGGTTGGTTCTACAACGCAATATTAATGATCGTCTCGATTCACGCTGTATTAATTTCACTTATGGAATGGAATAGTTCACCTCCTGTAATATTAACAATAACGGCGCCAATTTGTCTCAGTCTGCCGACATGCGGAGTAGTCGCGGCAGTCTCGGATTGTTATTTTGTTATCAAACTGACGCAAAATCCACAAAATTATCCACTGTTGTTTAATCAACAGTTGAATCGTGAAAGGCGGTTATGAATAGGAAATCACGGTTATGATACCAACTCCACGACAATTCCATCAAGATCAATTCAAACTATCTATACAGGGTGTTTCATTACCAATTGGAAATATCTAATATCGATTTTGTTTGTGGATGTTTGAGGAGTTGATATTCATCATACAGGACGTGGAAAGAAATTTTGAATTGAGAAAACCCGAAGAAATCCTAATAATGAATCTGCGATTGAGAACAAGTTTGCAAAAAATCAGAACTACCGGATTTGACGCATACTATACAGGGTCATTCCGTATATTTGAACAGCTTCTACAGGGTACATCATTGAAGATAGAGAAAAATTTCGAAAAGTTTTAGGATTTGTTCTGACCCTCCAGAAAATAATACCAGATGAAACAAATGAATATCGCTGATATAAGGAATGGGTACCAACTTCGTTATTTTCAATGGAAAAAATTCAAGATCTTTTCTTTCTGATTCCAAAGATATATTGGTCATTGATATTTGGTTCAGCCGTTTTCGAGATATTCGAGGTTGAACATTTTAGATTTTATCAAATCGCAACTGCCATGAATGAAAAAAGCATTTTTATAACTGAAGGAGATGCAATTTCACAGATGTTCGATGTGACCACCGTTATTTTGTATACATTTTCTGTAGTTTTTTTCCAATTTATTTATCGAATTGCGAATAATGTTGGAGTGATGATTGTTCAATATGTTAATGCAGTCCAAAATTCTTCCTCTCAAATCAGCCAAATTTCTACTTCTTTCCAAATTTTCCGATTCACGTTTGATAACGATCATTCAAGTGATGCCGTACGGGCATAACTTGATGAGGTGGCGCACCATCCTGATGCCATATCAATTCATTATACTGCCTGAGTGGGAGGTTCCCCAACAGATCTTTAATTCCATTGTTCAAAAACCTAGGTCCTGCTGAAGAACCCTCAAATAAAATTGGTCCAATCACTTGACTTTTCAAAATACCACACCAGACATTGAAGAATTTGCGACCCTGGTGCTGAATCTCTTCGTATCCGTGTCGATTATGAGTTGACCAGATATGGGTGATTTTTCGATTATAAATACCTTGCAATTTTATGATTGTCTGTAAGCTTTTGCATTGGCATAATTTTAAAGGGTGATATCCGAGTTTATGTAGGACAGTTTGAATATTTTATTGCATCCGTAGTAGAATAAGTGGGATTTTCCAAAAATAATTATATTTTTCATTAACACAAATATTCTCTTCATAAGTAATTCAATGTTTGTTCTACCTTGGAAATCAAGCAATATTTCCAATTCTCCATATTCATCAGCAATGACAGTGCGTTTTTTTCTTTGAACGAGCTGGCATTCCAGAATGAATGCATTCCAGGATGAATGCGTTGATACTCCGCTCGAGCTTCCACTGCATTATTATTATTTTTGTAGATTAAACGAATCATTTCAAACTTTCCATCTTCACTGAAACCCATATTTCTTCCGAAATTCTATGCAATGAACGAGGCAATGAACATATGACAGAACGTTTTATTGATGACCACTTGTGTATGTGTTGATTTTCCTTCATGGCAATTGCGATTTGGTGAAATCAACCTCGAATATCTCGAAAACGGCAGAACCAAATATCAATGACCTCGTCAATGACCAATTCATTTTTGGAATCAGGAAGAAAAGACCTTGGATTTTTTCGAAAAATATATAGGGTGTTCAATTGAAAATAACGAAGATGGTAGCCATTTCTGATATCAGCGATATTCATTTTTTTTCATCTGGTATAATTTTCTGGAGGTTCAGAACAAACCCTACAACCTCGCCTACAACTATTGCATTCGAAGTTTTTCTCTATCTCCCATGATAAAACCTGTAGAAGATGTTTAAATATACGGAATGACCCTGCACCCCCATATGTTCAGGGAACAAAGTTACTGGACTATAGCGGTGAAACAGTGTAGTGACTGTAGTCCAAATTAACACTCGAACAAAATTCATATCGCTCACCTTTCGGATAAGCAGGATGCGAATCCCCAATACCGACGATGCTGGGAGCAGCAGGCGATGGAACAGTGCTGCCCGACATCATCTTCATCTTCTTGGTGGGCGGCGGCGAGCAGATCGACGACTCCGATGAATCGCACTCCAGCCCCGCGAACTGCGCCCTCTGCTCCACCGGCACCAGCGGCAGCTCGTCGAAGCTGCCGCCCGTCTTGATCAGCGCCTCGTCCTGCGCCTGCGCGCGCCTGAGGGCGGTCTGCTGCGCCATGACTCGCTGCCGCTCGGAGGTCAGTCGGCACTTCTCGCACTTGCACGACCGATACATGCAGTACCGCTTGTGGCCCTTGAGGGCGATTTTTTTGCGGTGGTTGCGGCACCTGGCGCAGTTCGGGGGAGTCCTTGGGGAGGAGGAGGTGCTGGACGCGTTCACGTCCTTCTTGGAGTCGTATTCCTGCGAGTCTGACATCACGGGGCGGGCTGGTCCATGCGAAAGGGTCCGCTTAAGAAGAAAAATATGCATTGGTGCCGGATAATTTTATTGTGTGTGTTTTTTTTGTGTTTTGGTACCCACGAAAAGGGATATCCTGTGAGAACCAAGGGAAATAAGGTTGTATAGGAATTGGTGTTCTTCTTGAAGGACCCCGCACATTTAGTACGGAAAATGGCTTTCGGCTAATTTTTCTGAAAATTTGATATGTTTCAGATATTAGCGTCCTTATTACACAGTCCAATTTACAGATCGATCCTATGACCAGTTTTCGAGCTACAGGGTGTCAATCATTTGATTTTGGCATTTATTTCTACTACTAAACAGCCAAAATCAAATGATTGACACTCTGTAGATCGAGAACTGGTCATAGGATCGATCTGTAAATTGGACTGTGCATGTAGCGGGGTCCTTTCTGGAGGTTATATGCCTCGGGGAACACCTTCCTTCGTAATGTGTTCCAGAGCCTCGCTGTTCGTTGATGGGTTAATCTCGCGGCGACTGATGCAAGGGAGGAACAATTGTTGATATTTCAGAAGAGCATCGTCCATGAAAATATCTATAAAATAGAGCCAGATCGCCAACTTTTCTACAGTGTTCCAGAGGAGTGAGTGAGTTTGTGAGCGAGGCATCACTCACGAGACGAATTGCCATTTTTTGGGAGAGAAACATCTCGTTAAAAATAATTGTACAAATTTTGTATCTCATATGCAAAATAGTTGATTCAAAATATCGTAGGCAGAGCGCTTTCGGCTATATATAAAGCCATAATCAGTGCATACCTGTAAGTTAGTAATCAACTTTTAGCGGCCGTTAATAAATTGAAAATTTGAAATTATAGTAAAAGTGAGGTTACTTACTCGTCAGGTTGACAAGAAATTATCCATTAAAATATATTTGGTCCTGTTGGATAGTGTAAACATCATTGCTAATAACCGAGGGGTGAACGGCGGTCAAAATTGTGTATACACCAAACTTCAATTTTGGAAGAGATTCCAAGGTATTCCAGGGAATTCTGAGGAAATCCAAGGAATCTCAAGAAAATCCAAGGAATTCCAAGGAAATCTAAGGAATTCCAATGAAATTCAAGGAATTCCAAGGAAATCCAAGGAATTCCAAGGAAATAGAAGTAATTCCAAGGAAATCCGAGGAATTCCAAGTGAATTCAGAGAATTCCAAGGAATTCCAGTTGTTTGTACATCAGAATTCCGCGGTTCACCCCTCGCTGATTACGTTACAAGCATATTAAAATTCGTTTCTCAAACTGAGATGAATTGTGGACTCGAGACATTTCATTACATTTTTAAGCAGCTAAAATATCTGAATGCATACGGTCGTGTTGAAGTTAGCTTGATAAATGACAGAACAGAAGGTGCTGAAACAAACGAAAGCAAAAATCTTGAATTTTACATATGACAGGAGTTTGACGGAATCTGCCTCTTTTCCTATATACACACCACTACTTCTTTATTGAATTGAATCAATAGAATGAATTATGAACAATATCACATCATAGTAGTCTCCCATATTCATTCCTTCTTTTTTCCCAAAAATGAGGATCAATAATCTCAAAAACGTTTTTGAAATAATGTTATGAAGCGAATTTTTATTTCGATCTCGATTTTCATGTCCCCCTACCCTCGAGCCTATCCTCGCCCCTATATACCATCCCGAAAAGTTTTATATTTCTGGAACACCCTGTATATTGGAGTCCTGAATAACTTCTTCAGAAAGAAATCAGTTTGGCAACACTTTGAACGTTTTCCCTTTCAAGGGGCTGTATCTTAACATGGAATGCTCCAATGAAGTTTCTTCAAATGAAAGATCCTATCTTTTTTTCGATGAGGAATCACCCGAGGAATCACCCCCTTGAATGTTTCACACTTATTTAGTTCCACCCTGTATATGGTGCTAGAATTCTAAGATATCGGCTGATGATAAAATATTTCACATAGAACAAACACCCTGTTTTCACGGTTGTCAAGTTATTCAACTTTTTCCTCAAAAAAACTAATATTGTAGAGGCCAATAAAATAATTTATTGTGATTTTCATTTGTACATTTGAACGAAACAAGGAACCAAGTAAATTCAAACGAGTAGAATCCAAGATGTGTTCCATTCGATCCTGCAAAATCAGTTCGGAATTTTGAACAATTTGTCAATGACATAGACGGCGAAGAACATGACAAAATTCCCCTATAATTCCTTGGATTTTCTTGGAATTCCCTGGAATTCTTTGGAGTTTCTTGGAATTCCTTATGTGAAGTGCGGTATAATTCTGGTGTACGAACAACTGGAATTTCTTGAAATTCCTTGAAATTCCTTGGAATTCCTCGAAATTCCTTGGAATTTCTTGTGAAATTGAAGTTTTTTGTACACCATTTTGACCGCATAGGTACTTCATAAAAAATGAAGGTGCGTATACATATAATTTGGATCTGGAACCGTTAACGTAAGAATATACAGGGTGTTTCATTCAAAATAAAGAAGTTTTGACATCTTCATTTTCTTCAAGTTTTTATTATTGACAGAGTGTTCAATATGACGAACTGATTTTGTAGGAACGAATGAAACATATTGGACTCTGCTCGTGTGAATTTATTTCGTTCCAATGTTCAACAAAAAATCACAATATTTTGTTTATATCGGACTCTACAAAATTAGTTCATGAAAAAAGTTTAAAAACTTGGCAACCGTGGATTCAATGAATACAGAAAATAAAAAATTGTTGTGTAGAAATGTTGATGGCTCGGTTGATGGTGCATTCGAGAATGCAATTGAAAACAGGGGTGTTCCATTTGAAAAAAACTCATTATCTGCTGATATCTTGGAATTCGAAGACTAATAGGTAGGTATGGAAATATTCAATTCCTCCTCCTACTCCTTATATAGAGGATGTAGCAATATTGGCAAGAATTTTGATTTTCAAATCATTGCCATAATATGGCTGGCGTAGCCTTTTGCTTCTAAAACTTTTGGGACCTCATTCAGGACAGTGAAATAGTGTCTGAAAGTCAAATTCAAAAGCAGAAATATCTCAGAAATGAAAAAAGATATCAGGAAATACCCAGAACCCGTTTCAGAATGATGTGAGCAAAAACCTCAATTTTCTCAGCTTCGACCAAATTGTAACGCCCTCCATATACAGGGTGTTTCATTATTCCTGCTCATATTTTTTGGGCCAAAACGGGTCGAAATAATTGGAAAGAGTTTAGAGAAACTGCTTGAAGTGATATTAATATGAAAAGGAAAGTCTTTTGGTTTTTTGCACACAAAATAGCACCAAGTAAATTTTGTCCGAATGTTTATTCATAGTTTTGTACTAATGGAACAACTCGAAATGGAAAAGTTTTCGACTCTTTGAGTTTTTTTCGTGGACTACATATAATATTTATCGAGATGATCATTGCAATGCTCTTCGAATATGTACTTCGGTCGAGACTTCGGTAGTACCAGAAAATTCGGGCTCTCTCAACATGACGAAAACATGAATCACAGAGGTCTCAGACCAACCCAGTTAACACAGATTGATCCTAGACATATTAGAGGGAATCACATTCATGACACACATAACAACAGTGACTCGAAATGAGAGTCCAGCACTGAAATCACAATTACTGCTATTCCGGACCCTTTTGGTCATTCCATGATTCACATTATGATGCCAAATAAAACTCACAGTAAGTATTATGCGACTCCTCGAGCGACTCCTCATTCAACTTCAAAACCGTTCAAAACTGATTGATTCGGTTTGATACATAAATAGACAAGAATGCGTGAGGTTTCTGTGAGTCTTTTGGTTGTTAGGGAGCCTCACAAATTCACCTACATTTTGAGTATCAAATCCAATAAAATGAGACGAATATTGCGATTGTTTCATAGAGAGTCGCCTGGCAATACCAATGATGTTTTGTTGTAATTCTGTTACCTAGCGTGATATGAATGTGACATCCCAGGGATGTTTATCTTAACTGAGAACCAACTTAGGTATTTCTTGGTCTTCATTCATTTCCAAGATATTCATTCCCACTAGCAATATTTCAATTTGATATCTAAGAACACACTAATACCTTAATATACAAAACTTTTTCTCTTCTTTCGACCCAAATAATCTGATCTCGAAGTTTCGTGCAACATTCTACATAATATAATATTCATCGAGATATTCATTGAAAAGCTCTCCGAATATGTACTTCGGTGGTACCAGGAAATTCGGGCTTTCTTAACATGACGAAAAAATAAATCACAGACGTCTCAGACCAACCATCTTAGGTATTTCTTGATCTTCATTCATTTCCAAGATATTTATTCCCACTAGCAACATTTCAATTTGACATCTGAGAACACACTAATACCTTAATATAAAAACTTTTTCTTTTATTTCGATCCAAATAATCTAATCTTGAAGTTTTGTGCAACATTCTACATATAATATTCATCGAGATATTCATTGAAAAGCTCTCCGAATATGTACAGGGCTAATTTTATTAATGTGAACCCCCCTTCATCTTCTTTGTTTTCTATCCATTCAAAAAGATTCAAAACTGATTTTTTTACGATATTTCATATTGGTTTCATCATATTGAGAGAGTGTTGCAATATCTCTTCAAATATACAGGGTATACAGAAATCTATTGATTTTTTCACGAGTTTTTTCATATGGAATGCGCTGTATATTTTGATAGATGAAGATCCTTCTATATATATGTTTGAAATCAGGATGATTTAGGGAATTCAAATTTATCGAAATATACATGGCGTTTTATTTGAAAAATAAATTTATTTCTGTATACCCTGTGTATATTTGAATAGATATTGCATCATTGTCAAAATGAGTGAAATCTGTGCGAAAAATTGTATAAAATCAGTTTTGTAATTTTTTTAATGGGTGGAAAACAAAAAAGATAGAGGGGGGTTCACATTAATAAAACTATCCCTGTACTTCGGTGGTACCAGGAAATTCGGGCTTTCTCAACATGACGAAAATATAAATCACAGACCAACCAACTTAGGTATTTCTTGATCTTCATTCATTTCCAAGATATTAATTCCTACTTGCAACATTTCAATTTGACATCTAAGAACACACTAATAATACCTTAATATAAAATAATCCCGTGTCTAACTCCTAAACTCCGTGGACGAAAAGAGAGTTCACTGCACTGGCACTCTGACCTAGACGCAACAGGTCGCGGCGGAGAGTCTGCGAGCACGTGTTGCGGATTGCCTACGCGGATTCAACTGTCTGTCAGTCCTGCAACGGCAAAGTGAGTGAGTTGCATTGGCATTGCAGTGCAGCGGGGCAGAGGGTACCGGATTTTACGACTTTAAGCGGTGGGGGCCTGCATGTGCGGACTGCAGTTTGGAGCTGTGTTTTATGCGGCTATAACTCTGGGAAGTGAGTTTTGATGGCAGGTATTCGGAGTAGTTTTGTTGCAATCGGGCGAATACCGGAGGGTTATATCGGCCGTTTATGATATGATACTCTGTTCTATTTGTTATATATTCCCCGTGCATTGTTGTTTACTGCTTATGTGATCGCCGTGTTGCAGTGGGCACTAAATTTTCTATGGCCTTATTTAGATATTAAATTTTCCAAATTTATCGCCCGCGGGTTGGGACATATAACCACCGTTACTCTCCTAATGGCAGAATTTCAACTTCAATTAAACCCAAATCTAACGAATAAATTGCTTTAGGGGGGTCACTTGTTTCTATGTCTTCTATAACTATTCCTCCCAGCGAGCACAAACATCCCTGGGATGTTTTGGGATGTTTTGAAAATGTTGGCATGAAGATGTTATTTTGAGACGTAATATGCACTGACCAAAGAGGTCTTTGGATATTGCAGTATTGTTTTTGTTCTTTTGTGCCCTTTCTTTGTTTGCCCGACCACAACGTCTCATGCTTACGTCACAATACGATGAATTCTGATTTGTTTTCGATTTTGTTCTTCTTGTTCGCAATTGACATTCGCATTTGCAGCGTGTCACGCTTACATCACGCTGCTAACGAACAGAAAGGAATTTGGTGAAGTTTATTATGTTAGAAGACTTATTTAGTTTGTAATAATGACCATCAGATGCAAGATGTGTTGTTCGGTGCCTCAGGATAATCAATATATAAAATTACGAATTTATCAATACACAGCTTCTCCGCAGTTGCAAAATTATGCATTGTGGAGAACATTGCGAAAATTGGGAAACCTATTTCCAATTATATGTCTGTGTGTAAGTAAGCACTATTCAGAAACCGATTAAGAAGGTAATTTCATATCAAGAAAATATTTTTATGTTCAATCTATTTTTAATGCATATTTTCAATCAAGGGAAATGGAATCCTAATGCAAAAGTTCATTTTGACAAAAGGCTTCAGAAAAGTACCTCGAAAATGGTTTTTTTACAGCGATTTAATGTGCGCAAGACGCGTTGAAAATGTTTTGTTGTGTCCATGAAGAGGCTTTAAAATGAACTAGGGAGAAGGTAGTTTTGTGACATATCAAGGACATCTCGATAATTGAAGCCTGCGGCGGACATTGGCTGTTCTATGATAGTTCTATTCATGTGTGAACAGAACATCGCAGTGGAGGTTCAATGTCTCGAAATCTCGTACTTTTAACATCTCTGAGATGTTTTTGTGCTCGCTGGGCTGACAATCTTTGGAAGAAGTCCATGGTAACTCAAAGAGTTCATAGATGAGAACCCAAAGTCATCTCCAAATCATTAGTTTTGTGGAGATGACTTTGGGTTTTCATCTATGCACTATTGCGCATGCAATTCCAACTTTTGACGTGAGTGTGTGTTCGGCCGGTTCGGCTGGTACCTATGCACTCATACAGTACCAATATTATTCCTATTCGGTTGAACAGGCACTACTCAAGGGAAGAGCTGAATTTATATTCGACTGGTAGAAGCGCTTGATGTTAATTCGAATGTTTTCGCACAATAATTTTTTCACGGTGCTGAAAAATACTGAAAGATATTGGGTGTTGATTCACATTGTTATGTTCAGATTTCGAAATGAATGTGATGAAACTATTCGCAATTGATTCCCTATTGTCGAGCAACAGCTATTAGTCGATAGCAATAATGATATTTCCGAATTCATAAAATCGAAGTAGGATGAAACAGGAAAGCAGAAAATTAATGATATTCAGAAATTGCAATAAAATATTGGAATACGAGGTCTTTGTAGTAAATAAAAAAAATTTCATTATACCTATTGGTATCGGTATTGGTAGGTTGGATGGTGACAGATGCGCTGCGACCTAATTAGATGCTATATCAAGGATTTCTTGTTTATAGCAGCCCCTCGAGATTCAATTCCTTCAGGAATTTGAGGATTTTGAGGGGGTCCAACTGTGGTATTTCTTCCACAGTCAGCTGGTGTGTTCCCAGTATGTTCAATCTTTTGTGATGTACAGCGTCACACTCCATCAGTATGTGATGGGGTGTTTCTGGTTCTTCCTCACAGAATCTGCAGGTGCCGTCCTCCTGTAAGCCTAGCTTCCTTAGGTGTTCTTTGAGTCTGCAATGCCCCGTTAGAAATCCCGTTATTGCTTTGAGACTTCCTTTGCTGAGGTTTGTCAGTGTCTTAGATCTTTCTCGGTTGAAATTTCCAAGGAGATCTTTAGCCTGCCGTAGTCCTGGAAGTCTTCTCCATTGTCTGGCTCTCCAGGCTTCTTCCGCCTTCTCAAGTTCTCCTTGGAAATAGGAATGTCCAAGGCCGCAGAATGGCTCTGGTCCAATCAGTGGCGTTGAAGCCCCTTGTCGTGCCAGAGTCGTCATTATACCTAGGTACTATACACCATCGAAACCTCTGATAATTCACGAAATAGGTATCTCTATACTTGTTATGCCGCAAATTCTCTCCATACTCCGAAATTTAAGAAATAATTTGACAATTTATCAATTTTGAATTGAGATATTTGATTAGATCTAGCTTGATCCAGCCTTAGGATCCAACAAAACGTTGTCCTACACATACTAGTCGAATATTCATAATGTCAATATTGAACTTTATCCATACAGTACCAAAATAATTCGAATTATCGACATGCATGTGCTCTAGATTGGTTCGAACAAATCGAATTCTGTCCGAAGTCAGTGCAGTGCTAAATAGACATCTATACCACTACCGTGTCAGAGCAAACCAGTCGAATACGCTATAAGACTAATAATTGTCTAGCTGACTAGCTGTGTCAGTTGATCCCAAAATTGAAAATCATATGAAAATCACTTCTAGCCACCCTGTATAATCTGAGGGCATGAAAATTCTACAGAAATAGCATGCACGCATCTTTCCATCAAATGATATTATGATGATTAAAAATATTATAATAATAATATAATTTATAAAATTATAATAACTTTGAAATGATCGAGAAATAGTCAACAATATTATAGGAGTGGATGGATGTCACAGGAATGTTACAAAAAATGTGCTAATATACAGGGTGTTTCACAGGTAAAGGGAAATATTTCAATGGTAGATAGGGGTCACCAAGGTGGTTCTGAAAATACCATAATTGATAGGTCTTAGAGTTTTCATAACGGAGATACAGGGCGATTTATCGATTTAGAATAATTATTCATTCGTCTTTAAGTATTGAACTACTCAGTATATTTTCCTAAAATTTGGTATGGAGCTTAAACTTGGGACGTTGAATTCATTCACCTATCGGGCGAAGAGAAAATCCAGGTTCGGCTTCAGGAAAAATTCACATTTATTCGAAACATTAAAATAACACACTGTATGTAATAATTGACAGAGTTCATCAAAGGAATCGTAAAGAGGAGGAAAAAGTGAACTGGATTTGATGCTTTTTGTTTTCCCGCCACCAATTCTCATCGTAACAATCATAAACAGAAAGCTGAAAGTATGTCAATTTGAAGAGTATTGAAATTATGAAACCAGTGTCAATTATGATTATTCGATATATTTTAGTCAAAAAATCGCTCGCGAAAGAACTTACTAAGTCTCACAGTTTTTATAACGGAGATACAGGGTGAATTATCGGTTTTGAATAATTATCCACTCGTCCATAAGTATAAAACTACCCAGTAACATTTTCTCAAATATGGTATGTAGCTTACTTAAGACGATGGATTCATTAACCTATCAGGCGGAATTATAATTCGATAATTCACCCTGTATCTCTGTTATAAAGACTATGAGACTTTTTCTGAAGCTGAACCTGTATTTCCATCCTGCCTGATAGGTCAATGAATCCATCGTCCCAAGTAAGCTCAATACCAAATTTGAGAAAATATTACTGCGATGGGTATAGTTTAATACTTATGGACGAGTGATAATCCACCCTGTATCTCTGTTATAAAGACTGTGAGAATAAGTAAGTTCTTTCGAACGATCATTTAACAAGAATATATCAAATAATCATAATTGAAAGTGGTTTCATAATTTTAATACTCTTGAAATTGACATACTTTTAGCTTCCTGTTTATGATTGTTACGATGAGAATTGGTGGCGGGAAAACAAAAAGCATCAAATCCAGTTCAGTTTTTCCTCCTCTTCACGATTCCTTTGATGAACTTTGTCAATTATTACATACAGTGTGTTATTTTAATATTTCGAATGAATGTAAATTTTTCCTGAAGCCGGACCTGGATTTTCACTTCGCCCGATAGGTGAATGCATTCAACGTCCCAAGTTCAAGCTCCATACCAAATTTTAGAAAAATATACTGGGTAGTTCAATACTTATAGACGAATGAATAATTATTCGAAATCGATAAATCGCCCTGTATCTCCGTTATGAAAACTCTAAGACCTATCAAATATGGTATTTTCAGAACCACCTTGGTGACCCCTATCCACCATTGAAATATTTCCCTTTACCTGTGAAACACCCTGTATAGGGCATTCCATTCAAAAAGAGTGATCCTGACCCTCTAGATTTTTTCCGATGCTCCCAGTACATGCGGCAATAATTTCTAGTCACGGACCTTGTTTTCTCATTGACATTCGTTTATGAATCAAGTTTATAGCTATAGAACTCAAGAAATCGAGCTGTGACGCACTAATGCCCCATACCCTGTATATCACGAATTTTTTTTTGGATTTGGGTCGTTGACAACGGACAGCACCAAATTCGACGATTTTTTTGCGTATATATGCTATTTCAACTTGAAATAGCTGCAGTCTCTAATGATGTATCGATTTCGAATAAAGAGTGTTCCGAGTTTTACGTCTGAACTATAAATCCGACAAGATTTATAACGGGCGCGTTGTTAAGGATTTTCACTGTCGGTGT